TCTGACTTCAGCCAGGTCACGATCTCGCAGTCCGTGAGTTCGAGCCCCGCGTCGGGCTCTGGGCTGATGGCTCAGAGCCTGGAGCCTGTTTCCGATTCTGTGTCTCCCTCTCTCTCTCTGCCCCTCCCCCGTTCATGCTCTGTCTCTCTCTGTCCCAAAAATAAAATAAACGATGAAAAAAAAAATTTAAAAAATACATGGAAAAGTAATAGCACAGCCACATACCTTAGGTATACAGACATACAAATATGCATATATGTAGGTATACATATATATAATGTATATATACAGTATATAAAATATAAATACATATAATGAGGATTTTCCTTCCTTTTTTAAACATTACTTTTGTCCTTCTCCCTGGAATCAGAATAGCTATTAGATGCACTACTGATTTTTGCATAACAACACCCAAAATTCACATGCTGGCTTAGACTGAGACCGCTTCTGAATGGCAGTTGGGAATAAAAACACCTTCCCCTACTCACCATACATGGCTGTGTCCTCAAAACGTGAACATACTTGGCTTTAAACAACCCACTATGGATTCTTTCTCGATTGATTCCAAATCCTTTGCAGTTGCCACTTCCAGCTATATCTGTCTTAGAGTATCAAGTCTCTGCTCTTCATGGATATAGTCCTAAAGAATGTCCTTTTCCATGAAATTACCTCTTTGAAGCATGGCTCCTGTTCTGACATTCTGAGATGGGTCTGCAAACTATGGCCTAGCACCTGTATTTGTGAGTAAAGTTTTATTGGAATCCAGCTGTGCCCATTTGTTTGCATACTGTCTTCAGCTGTTTCACATTACAACAGCAGCGCTGAGTAGTAAGAGACTGTAGAACCCACAAAACCTAAAATACTCTGCCTCCTTACAGAAACGTTTGCTGACTCACATTCTAGAATAGGGTAAAAAACAGATTGTTTTTTCCCTACCAAAAGTTCTGGAGGAATTGAATCACATACTCCATATTCAGTGTCTTTGTCCAGGCTGAAGAGTTTATTTTTTTAAAAAATACAGATGACCCCTGAACAACAAGGGTTTGAACTGCATGGGTCCACTTATCTACAAATTGTTCTCAATAAATTAAATGTTCTCAGTAAAGTGTATGCATTTTCCTTATGGTTTTCTTAACTTTTTTTTTTCTCTAGCTTTATTATAAGAATACAGCATATAATTAATGTAACACACAAAATTATGCATTAATTATTTATGCTATTGGTAAGGCTTCTGGTCAGCACTAGGCTATTAATAGTTAGGTTTTTGGGGAGTTAAAAGTTTTACTTGGATTTTCTACTGCGTAGGAGGGGTCAGTCCCCCTAACCTCCATGTTGTTCAAGGGTCAACTGTACAAACAAACAAAAAGCGCCCTGGCTCTGACAGTAGCAATGGTGTGCTGGTAAACGTTTAATCACTTGCTCTCGGCCACAGGGGAGCCCTGGATTATACCATTTGCTGATCTCCATGGTGTCAATAGTTCCATAATGGCTTACCTCAAGCTAAAAAATGTGATGTCACTGAACATGGAATTGGGAAGAGATGGCCACAAATGCTAGTGCAAACTAGCTCCAGCAAACCACTGGCTCCTCAGGACATCAGTGGCCCAAACGTACTTTATTTTTTTATTTAAATTTTTAATGTTTATTTTTGAGAGAGAGAGAGAGAGAGAGTTGCGGAGGGGCAGAGAGAGACACACACAGAATCTGAAGCAGGCTCTAGACTGAGCTATCAGCACACAGCCTGATGCGGGGCTCGAACCCACGAACTGTGAGATCATGACGTGCCTGAGCTGAAGTCGGACACTTAATCGACTGAGCCACCCAGGTGCCCCTCAACCGCCTACTTTATTTATTTATTTTTTTTAAAATTTTTTTTCAACGTTTTTATTTATTTTTGGGACAGAGAGAGACAGAGCATGAACGGGGGAGGGGCAGAGAGAGAGGGAGACACAGAATCGGAAACAGGCTCCAGGCTCTGAGCCATCAGCCCAGAGCCTGACGCGGGGCTCGAACTCACGGACCGCGAGATCGTCCGTGATCGCTTAACTGACTGCGCCACCCAGGCGCCCCACAACCGCCTACTTTAAAGATGAAGACACTGAGGCCCAGAGAGTGTCTTGCCCAAGGTTGGCCCAGGGACTGGAACCAGGCTGGAAATCATTTCCCAGTAGAGTCTGGCTCCTTCACAGGGAGTTATGTCCTTCATAAAAGGAAGAGTAGAGGAAGGAAGGCAAAGGAAGTTCTTTGCCAGGCCCATGGTAATAAATATTGGTTTTTATCATTATCTTCACAATTTGGGGCTCAGGCTTCTTCAGCATGTGCTTTGAAGCTCACATCAGGGAGAGGTAGTGTTCTTCACACAAGACCAGGTTTCATGCGAACACTTGACAGTGGCCTGTCTCAATTAACCAGCAGATGCTGAGGCTACCAGACTGTAAACTCCAGAAAGAGAGGGACTGCCTGTTTGTGCTATTTTCCCCAGTGTCCAGTATAGAACTGGGCACTTGGTAAGTAGACAGACCATAAATATGTGCTCAAGGGATAAAGGAATGACACCCCACCATCAAAGTGGAGCTTTACTCCAAGAACATGGCAGGTATGCAGAGGTTAGATCCCATTCCCTTCTCCCATCTGTGGCTAGGGCCACAAGAGATGAAACATGCTCGTATGCTTGCCACATTTTTTTTTTTTTAGTTTATTTCTTTGAGATTGAGATAGAGAGCAAGCAGGGAAAGAGGGAGACCGAGAATCCCAAGCAGGCTCCATGCTGTCTGCAGAGCCCAATGTGGGGTTCGAACCCACAAACCATGAGATCATGACCTGAGCTGAAACCAACAGTCGGACGATTAACCGACAGAGCCACCCACACGTCCCTGCTTGCAACATTTCTAAACTATCAGCTGCAGTATCCAAGCTGCTTCATCAGAGCAGGAGAAGCTCTGTGGATGGAGGAGCAAAAGGCAGGACAGAGTTAGAGAACGGTCTTCCTTTGATGTATATATGTATGTAATTTCTACCTGGAACTTGTTCTGACAGAGCATAACTCCAAGGAAAAATCCAGTGAGAGATCCCACCTACCACACACCACGATGCAGGACATTGCTTTCTGGTAGCAGCTGAGGAAGGGCCACTCAAGGTGGCACATCTCTGAAAGTGGAAAGTGAACGAATGCCACGATTGGGTTATCATGATATTCCAATAAGGCTACACAGCTAAAAACAGCAGTGAACATGGCGGAAAGGAAGGCAGTGTTCTCTGGAAATGACTTTTTGACCACTTGGTAACTCTCACACAAACCCCTACACACTTGGCACGGGCTCCCCATGGGCATTTCGCTGAACCCACGGGTCCTGTTTGCCACATCACTGCCGCAATCTGGATGCACAGACAGATCAGCTCTTGGGGCACAGGAACAACCAGCCATCTGTGAACCTTGCTGCATTTTCAGGAGGCCACTGGGACTCATCATCTCTTATGCGGAGACCTACTACTAAAACTTGCCACAGTGAGGTCAAGCTTGGTCCCAAATACCAGAGATTAACACTGTCCATGCATGGGGTGCTGTATGTGTTTCCATTTAGAGCAAACATCCCAAACAAGAAGCAGGACCAATGATTAAAGCCTCCAAAGCATTTCCTACACCAGTGGCTCTCAAAGTGTGGTGCAGGAACTCTAGGAATCCACAAGGTCAAAACAACTTTCATAATAATACCAAAAGGCAATTGGCCTTTTCCTGTGTCACGTGTTCAGGAGTATACAGTGGAGTTTTCCAGAGGCTACAAGATGTGACAGTGCACCAGACTTGAGTGAAGAAGCAGATATAAGAATCCAGCTGACTTCTATTAAACCTGACATTAAAGAGACTGCAAAACTATAAAACAATGCCACTCTTATCAGTAACATTCTATTTTAGAAAATAAAATTCTCTGTTAATATAAATAGGTCCACTATTTAAAAAAAATCAATCATTAAATATAGTAAAACTTTCTGTTTTATATATATAGTAAATATCAAAAGATATAACCCACATAAACGAAAGCTTAGTATGCTAGTTTTTAAGTGTAAAGGGGTTTTTGAGCCCCCTCAAAAGTTTGAGAACAGCTGTCCAAGAGGCTGCCCATCCCCCGCCCACCCCTAGTCCTCACGCTTGTGAGGAGGGTTATGTATGTTAAGTACGTTGCAGGAAAGACGTGCCGTTCAGATATCTGGCTGAATTAAGAAAGGCAGCCCATTCTCCTTCCTGGATCTCTGAATTCATTAGGGCAGGCTCTGTGCCGAACCCTTCCATCTCACCCCATTTTCCCCTTATTACTTGGTGTGGATTCCCCAATCTGCCAGCTGTGGATTTCCCTATCCTACAAGTCCGGGCGCGGTAAGAACTACCTGGTGAGACCCGCACACCCTTCTTGGGGTTAGGACTCCCCAGTGAGGCCCGCACACCCTCCTTGGGGTGAGGATTCTCCAGTTCGGCCGGCCTTAGAGCCTGGATGAGGACTCCCAGCGAGGCCCGCATAACCTCTGTGAGGACTCTCCGGCGGCGTGCACAGCCGAGGCAGAGAGACGAGGAGAGCCATTTCCAGTCCCTGAACCCTGTCCCCCGCGCGGCACAGGCTGCAGACAAGGCGTAGAGGTCAGTCCCCAGGAGCCAGATTCTCCTCTGGGCCTTCCCCGGCCTCTACCCAGCCCGTAGCCGCTCCACGCGCCTCGGAAGAGGCTCGCGCCGTCTGCCTCCGGGAAGAGGGGGGCCGGCGCTTCTTCCCCGGGACATCCGTCCCTCCGGGCCGGTACTCACCGCTAAGTGCACGAAGGGGATCTGAGCGTGGGCAGGCGTCAAGTGCGGGGCAAGCTCCCGAGCGCTGCGTGGATCTAGGGGCAGCCGCCTCCGCGCCCCTCCCCCTGCGTCCCCCGGGGCCACCCGCTGATGGGCGGAGCAGGGGCGGGGCGGGGGGCGCGGGGCCCGGGCGCGGCGGGGTAGCGGCCCGAGAGGTGGGGCGGAGTCTCTCCCGGCTGCCCCGCCCCGCCCGGCTGGAGAGACTTCGCCCCTGGCGGGAGGGGGCGGAGGCTAAGGGCCCAGCCGCAGGAAGCGGGCGGACGCGTGCTCGAGCCCGTACCACTTCGGCGGGCCCCGTCCTGGGAGCAGAGTGACTTTCGCTCGCTTTGAGGTATAGGGTGTGACTGTCCGGCTCGCGCCAGGAAGGGGTGGGGAAGAAATGTAGTTGTTTTTCTTTTTTGCTTTAAAAAATGATTTGGCCATAAAGGGAGAGTTTTCGTTCTTCAGCTGCTCCAGTACGTGTGGTCACTTGGCCCCTGTCCCCACCGCCACGCCCCTCTCACCCCCTTGTGCCCACCCCCGACCTCTACTCCCGCCTTAATTCCTTGCAAAGCGTGCCAAGTGGGCCTCGGAACCACGCTGAAATATAATAGGACTTCGACGTTTCCATGGTTATGAATGCAGTTTCTGGTGTAAAAAAAAATTTTTTTTTTTTAACGTGTGACAACGATTTATAATGCAGGCTGTTCACCGGTTAGAAATGAGAGAAATGGCCGAGAGTTGACGCTGAATGGACCTTCTTCACCAGACCTGCTTTTGTTGGGTGATTCGAGTTGCACCCTCTCTAGCAAAGCCGACTAGAAAGAAGTGATTAAATCTTTCTAGATCCAAGGTGGTGAGGTTTTCTTGACGATTTATATGGAAAACTGTAGTTTTCTATCTTGAGTATCTGAATAAACAGCTTATAAGATGAATAGCTAATAGCTAATACTAACTCCCATTGGTACCAGTTAGTTGCCATTCTGTTCCTCTGTGTAGGGCCGTATGATTGGATCTTTCAATATCTTAATCAACTCTGCCATCTGTCCTGTGAAGTGAAAAATATTACCCCATTTTGCAGATATGAAATGCTATAGCTGGGATTCAGTCCTCATGCCTGCCTGTTTCCCAAGTCCATACTTTTCTCATTATACTATTCTAGGGTACAAGCTATCCCTAATTATATCTAGTTTTTAAATATAAAGGGTTGTATTTAACTTTGAAAAATGAGATACTATATTTCCTATATGGGAAAAGACTTTCTTTCCACACACTTTCTAAATTCACGTTCATTCATTCTTCCTTTGCACATTCTTTGAAGAAATTTTCCTTGAGTGTCTATCCCATGCCAGAGGTTCACCACAAACTCTGAAAAATAATAATAATAGAATTCCTTTGGAAGTTAGGTGATAATGTTCAATGAAAACAGGCATATAACACAATAACTGATAATCCTTGACAGAAAATAATGAAATCAAAACTCTAAAGGGAACTGGAATTTATTAATAAACACTGGTCAAAACCATGAAGGAAACACATTTAAGAGTTGGTGTTCTGCCACTTTGATTTTATGAAAGACCTACCTTAGTACCTGTTTTCGCTAACTGAAAGAAATCTGAAGAGGAATTTTGCTGTTACAAAAAAGATGAAAAGTGAAAATAACATTCAGTGTTTGTTTTGCAGCAAGCTGTTCCAGATGAGAGGGGCCCCATCAAGCTCCTTCCCTGCGAACTACGCTCAGCACCTCAGCATCAAGCCGCTGTAGCTTTGGACTGTGTCTGTGAGCATCTGTGCTTGTATCTGGATTTATTGGGTGCATCTATTAGTAAGACGTGTCCTAAGGTATTGGAAAAGCCTAAGAGAAGCTGTATTTTGGGTCTGGGGATGCTGAAAAACTTTTCCACAGAAATTAATGGTAATTGCTTCTTTGCTTTCTGCCATTTTGGTTTCATAGGAACACTCTACTTTGAGAAAGCGTGAGAAACCTGTAGTACCCACATCACTCGGCTTTGTTCCCCTCTAGAAAGTCACCAGTGACATGCAGATTGCAAATCCACTGGCCTGCCTTCTGTTCTTGTCCTCACTGACTGCTCTGTGTTACTTGACACTGGTGACTGGTCTTTCCTTGAAATTTTAACCTCCTTTCGGCTTTAGAGCCCTCTGCTTTCATCACCTCTCTGTCTTTGATCTCTCTTTCTTAGGCTCTTTCACTATACTTTTTCTCCTCTCCCTTTACATGTGATTCCATATGCTGATGAGCTTTTATTCATTTATTTTCTCTGTGCAGACTCCCTGTTACCTGTAGCTGAAGCCTGCTGGGTCTCTGTCACTGTTCTTAACTCTCTTCAGGTCTCCACATGTTTTATTTCCAGCCACTTATGGAGTCTCAACCACCTGGATATTCCAAAGACACCTGCCATTCTTCACATCTAAAATGAGAATTCGTCATCTTTTCTAACCATCAGTCTATCCCCTCCTTCCCATCCAGTTTCTTCTTCACTCTGAATCTCACATCTTGAATTTGGGTCTTATGGTGTGTTGCAAAAGCTAAACATTTAAGGGCTTTAGAACCATATTACTATGCTTATACAGGGCCCACCTGATAAACATTTCTGCCATGGTACAAAAGACTCTGCGAGAGGTCTAGAGGAATGTATAAACCTTATGGACCTTGTGAGAGGAAGCCAGCCAGCCCGCTGTGGAGCTGCTCAGGCACCGCAGATCACTCCAGGGGCCAGTGGCAGAAGGACCTTCAGTTGAGGTGACTGCACTATTCTAGTAGCCTCACTGCCAGAAGTTTCTACTACTGTAAGTAGAACCATGAAGATGTGGTCAGAGACCTGTTATGCTCCGAGGAATGCCTTATTATAGTTCACACTGACTTCAGTTACTTGTATAAACTGGACTTCCTTGGTATAGAAAGGTCCTAAAAACTGTACCCAATTAACTTTGTATCACGCTTTCCAATTTATAATGCACTCACACACATATTATTTAAAAAATTTTTTTTAATGTTTATTCATTTTTTGAGAGACAGAGAGAGCGTGAGCAAGGAAGGGGCAGAGAGAGGGAGACACAGAATCCGAAGCAGGCTTCAGCCTCTGAGCTGTCAGCACAGAGCCCAGCGTGGGGCTTGAACTCATGAACTGTGAGATCATGACCTGAGCCGAAGTCGGATGCTCAACCGACTGAGCCACCCAGGTGCCCCTTGCACACATATTATTTAAGAAAAAAGAAATGGTGTCAGAGAAAGGCGGTCTGAGAGCACATTCATATGCTGTTCTGGAGAGACTGAGTTTGACAGTCTGACCACCTTTTGAGAAACACTAGTGGTGGTTCCAAACTGAGTGTTTCTTGGAATCACAGAGAGCACCTATTAAGAATACTGCCTCTGGTGTCCCCCACCTCCTAGAATGTCTGATTAATTAGGTGAGGGGTAGGATCTGTGCTCAGAGTCTGAGGAATTTAAATTCTACAGGTGATTCAGCTCTAGCAGGCCCACAGACTGGCACCAGGGAACCGCTACCTGGAGATATATGCTCCATAGGGCGAGACCATGTCACTTTGTTCATCACCCCTAACCTGGAGCCTGGCACATGGCAGGTGCTCAGTATGAGTTTCTTGACTCTTACTGTCACTTTCTTTCTGCCCCCTCCTCCATTACACTCTGTTCAGTGTTCTCTAGCACGGTACAAAGGGGAAACATCTGGCAATGAGTGAAGCATAAGGTGGTCCTTCCTGAAATGCTTGAGGGGACTCTAGAATACCTACGTTCATTGCTGAATGTGTCTTTCTCATACTAGAGGAAGTTTGAAATAAATGTTTTCTGTTCCTTTAAAAAATGCTATATATTGACAATAAGGAAAGTCAGTGCTTAACTTCATCTTCACCCTCCCTCTCAAGTATCCAACTGGTACCCCCTTCCACGCCTCTCCTGTACTTAATGTTTGTGCTTCTTTTCTTACCGCCCAAGTGCCTAAATCCTTGAGCTGCTTTCCCCAGACCCGCTGGCCATCTGTTTTACAGTTAACACTGCCACCCCCCCAACTTAAATAGTGAAAAAAGCCAAATGTGATCAAATGTCCTATTGAATCTTCACAACAACCCTTTGAGGCTGGTGACATTCTTACCATTCCACAGATAAGGAAAGTGAGATTCAGGATGATTCTAACACTTCAACTGGCAAATGGTGATGCTGGGGTTTGAACTAAGGGTGATATAACTCCAGAGCTGGTGCTTTTAACCTCGATGCAATGATGTAGAATTTTATTTAAGTGAAATCATGGGATATTCTGAGGCTATAAATCATTTATTCTCTGCAGAAAAGAAGAGGAACATCAGTGTTCTAGGAGAGAACTTTGGTCTATCACTGTCTAGAATTCCTTATTCACTTATTTTCAGGGCTTCTTCTCCCTAATCATAGAATAAAAAACCCCTGATGCAGCCCTGTAGTTTAGGTAAACATCAGTAAAGATGCTCCTCATCCTGGGGGATAAAAATATTGGAAGTTGGGGGCAGTAATGTCATTGTTCTGAGGCTGCTGCTCCTGACTTGATTTTTTTTTTTCCCCCAAGAAAATGGTTTGGTAACATCAACAAATGAGAGTTAGAAAAACAGCAAATTTGTCACTAGTTGGGCTCATTTCTGTTTCCGGTTTATGAGGAGACTGCTTTCATGGTTAGATTAACTACTATTTAAAAATCTTACTATGGCCCCTATGCCCTTGTGCTCTCTTCATTCTTTTCCACCCATTAGTCACTTTGTCCTTCATTCGGGGTATTTCTTTTTGACCCGTCGTATAGTCACTATAAAAGCAGTGCGTTCCCCAAACTCATTTTTCCTAAGCTACAAAGCAGACTCACTGTATGCATAGCATCCACCTGGGCCCTCTACCTGTTGTCCCCACAGGGAACCAATGTGACATTATTTTCATGCTACTTGCTGTGTATGAGTAATAAAATACTTTATCTCTGACCCAAGAATCTTGTGTCTTCTGCCAACATCCATGAAACAGTAAGAGGCTTATTTATTAGCTTGTGTACGGTAAAATCTTAGTTGCTGACACTTTTGGTGACGTGATGGGATGCTGGCAGAGACAATCCTTTCTGGAAGACCCTATGGTTTGTGTTAGTGGGCAAGAGAGGACTTCCAGGATCTAGTAGCAAATGCTGATCAAGGGGCACAGTAAGTGTCCTCCACTGCCATCCTGTTAATGTTTATTTAGAAGCTAAGTGATAAGAAACAGGCTTGAAACAATTTACCCAAACGATGTTTTGGTTGTGCTCACTCTCCTCGAGAGTAGAATGAGAAAGGGATGTTATATGACAGTGGGGTGGCCAAAAGTGGCTGTAGCTGCTGAGTCAAGGAATCCCCAAAGTTTAAATAAATGCTGTCAACAATATGGAGATAGAAACTTAAGTGGATCAAAAACAAGTGTTGATTTGGATGAGCCCAAGCTGTGGGCTTGAAACTGGAAGTTGATGCAAGGCCTTGTTTATGGACAAGGAATTGCTCTGTCCCTCTGCACCTCCTGACCCTTCCCCTCCCCCATTTCCCAACTTCGGCTGCTTTCAGGAAAAAGCTGAGTATGCTTGGGGAACTCCAAGAAGGGGGAAGCTCAAATATTTTTAGCTCTGTTGTGCATAATTGCCCAGGTTACAATTCTGCTCAGTTAGTGGAGGGGGTTGGGGTGCTGGATGCAAGGGTAGCTGAAGGCACTGAGGACTGTGGAGGAAGCAAGGAAACTGGTACCAAGCCTGTCTTGAGGAGACCAAGGATTTAAAAAAAAGCCATCCTCCAAAGCCTCCTCCTCTCCCATCTGCATCCCCTTACCTTCTGGACTTCCCTTTATATGCCTATTAGGCTTCTTAATCCATTGGTCCATGTTCCCATAGTGTAGTGGTCCTCAGCCAGGGTGATTTAGTACCCCCTTCCGACCCTAAGACATTTGACAATGTCTAGAGATATATTTGATTGTCACGACTAAAAGAGGGAGAGTGTGTTCTACTGGCATTTAGTGGATAGGAGCAGGGATGCCGTAAATATCCTACAGTGCACAGGATGCATTCCCCAAACAATGATCCTACCCAAAACGTTAGTACTGCCAAGATTGGGATCCTTGCTGGGGGCTGGGGGTGGGGGGAGCATCCAAAAATCAACTGATGGGGTTTGGGCAACTTTTTCTGTGAAGAAGGAAAATTAAAGTGACCTGGTAGGGCGGGCTTTTTGGGCTGATTCAATGTACTACTGTCTTTCATTGCCGAATGTATAACTGATATTTATGTTGTACGTGCTTGCATTGTGAATACTTATGAAGTCCAGAAGGGATTCTTCTATTCGAAGACTGTGGTAGAGAGGTAATCTCTGTCTTCTAACTGGCGGTCTAGCAAAAAGAATATAAAATCTGAGAAGAAAAGGAAATCACAGCTTTAGACCGCTATTGCACAAGTCAGAAAGGCAATTCCCTAGTACAACATCGCCACCTGCCGACCCAGGCATCAAGTGCACCTCTTTTAAAAAAGCTGGGGTTTGGGAAGTAGATGGAGCTGTTGACCTGTTGCCAAGCTCTTGTTGAAAAAGAAACAGGAACCCTCCTGCACTGTTGGTGGGAATGCAAACTGGTGTAGCTGCTCTGGAAAAAAGTGTGGAGGGTCCTCGAAAAATTAAAAACAGAACTACCTACGACCCAGCAATAGCACTGCTGGGAATTTACCCGAGGGATATAGGAGTGCTGATGCATAAGGGCATGTGTACCCCAGTGTTTATAGAAGCTCTTTCAACAATAGCCAAATTATGGAAAGAGCCTAAATGTCCATCAGCTGATGACTGGATAAAGAAATTGTGGTTTATATATACATTGGAATACTACTTGGCAACGAGAAAGAATGAAATCCTGCTGTTTGCAGCAATGTGGAAGGAACTGGAAGGTATTATGCTGAGTGAAATAAGTCAGAGAAGGACAGATGTCATATGTTTTCACTCATATGTGGATCTTGAGAAACTGAATGAGCACTGGGTGTTGTATGTAAGCCAATTTGACAATAAATTATATTAAAAAAAAAAAAAGACCTATAAAGACCTGTGACTCTGCAGCCTGAGGTCCCCATTTTGGGTGGGTTAACTCAGACTTGACAACCAATAAGGAAAAGGCCCAATATATCTCACTTGTCAAATTGGAAAGTTTTTCCTCACTTGGAAATTGGGTATTTAAGGACCAAGTAGCCTGGCCCTAGCAGCATCTCAGTTTATATGAAAAAGTGGTAGCTGTTGCTTTGGAGAAACTGTACTCACATGATACCACCTGAAGTAAAGCCCCTGGCTCAATGGTGTCCTTAGTTCACAGAGGTGCACCTTAATGCTGGGGCCTGGTTCACTGATGGTCTGGCCAAGTTCAAACCTGTTAGGGGAGAGGGGAGGCTGGAGCTGTTCAACTGCTGCTCTGTATATGCCATACTGAAAATTGGCATTGTTATTCACTCACTGCATAGAACTCAAGGCCATTTTCATAACTCTGGCCAATATTCCCTATGATGAAACATATTTTTTACTGACTCTTGGGATAGTAGCCATGATTTAGCGGCCTGGTCTGTTATCTGGTCCACCCCTTGGAAGACTATAGACTGATGGATTAAACGACCCTGGCACCTGTGGTAGGAACATCTGAGACTACAGATATACAAGGGAGGAGGCCATAAATATTCTCTTTGTCGCCTAGATCGAACACCATCACTCAAGTCAAACAGCAGATGCACTTGACAGGTTGTGGATGTGACTGATCATAAATGATACTGCTGTGCCTGTGCGTCAATAGCAGCTCTCAACATGGAGCCCCTGTAGACAGGTACAAACACATGGACTGGCACAACCTCACTTCATTCTGTTACAAAATCACGTGCTTCTCTGATGCTTGAGAGGGATATGCCACATATAGAAAAGGAAATTACAACCATTCAGTGACACTGCCCGTGTGACTTAACCAAGCTAATGTAGCAATGTTGATCCAAATCAAGTTTAATGACAAATCCTGTTAGGAGTGACCTGTGCCTACTTGGGTTATATGCTTGTATGTGGCTAGAAATGGGCCAAGGAATCTCTCTTCGTTAGGGATAGAGGTTGTTTTTTGGCTCATCTATTGCCTCCTGTAATTATTAGCAATGACACCAAAGATCAGCAGGTTAGTGAAATGAATAATGGATGGGCCTTAGGCTAGACTACATCCTGACTGTCTGAAATAGAGTCCTCTGGTCTTCCCTGGGACAGTCACCTGGGTCCAGGACTCTGGAACGCATATTTGAGGTCAATACTTGAGGTTAATTTCATCTTGTTGTTTGGAGTCCCGATGATAGTAGCCTTGTGTGAGAAATTTAGTTCTAGCCTCTGTTGGTTAAAGTAATCAGAATGGCCAATAGAGTGACATACTTTTGTGACAGTTTGCTAGAAGCCAAGACAGGTAGGGGCAACAGGTGGATTGATGGGGAAAACAATCTTCCACAGGTCCTGAACATCCCTGCACATTTTTGCTAGGTATGCCAAGAATTCAAATTCCTTCCTGACTATTCTTTCCTAATGCCATTTCTCTGGGTTGTGTTTATAGTGAACACCGTGAGGGTTGAAGTTATATCAAGTCATATGTTTGCTTCTAAATTATTGGGTGTGTGTGTGAATAATTGAGTGAGAGTGTAGGTGAACCATATCATCTAAAAATTTGTAATTGTTGAGGCTGGGTCATAGGTACATGTGGGTTCAAAGTACAGGCTTTCTTACCACTTACTATAAAAACAGTAGATTCCCAAGTGTGTTCCTTGTTAGCAATACAAACTCATTGTATGTATTATATCCTTCTGGGCCCCTCTATGTTACCCCCATGGGATCTGGGATAAGGCTCATGCTGCTTGTTGTGTCATGAGTAATAAAGTCCTCTTCTGTGATTTACGAGTCTTGTGTCTTTTTCCAGTATTTATAAAATGGTAACAGAATCTTAGTACCTTGTAAGTAGGAGTAAAATACCAGACCCTGACAGTATCTATATTGTTTTGTGGGGAGTGGGGGATGCTTTGATGTTTGATTGAAATCACCAGGCACAAATTTAGTTGTGTAGCTTTGTTTTCACATTGAGAAAAAAAAATCAGTTTGTTAAACTTGTCTTGCAACTGCCCCAAATTTTGCCAAGCTTGAAATTTGGAACTTCTCTATGTAGTCCCTTTTTAAGCTTTATTTTAAATATTTAAAATTATGAATAATGTCAGCCATTTACACAATTAGAGAGACTAGTATAATGAGCCCCCATATAGACATCACTTGGCTTCAACAATGATCAACTCATGGCTGATCTTGTTACTTCTATATCTGCCTCCCATTCCCAATTACTCTGCAGCACATATATACAATTATAGAATTTCATTTGTAATATAGTCTGTTTTAAAATCATTGCTGGAATCTGCTTTGTTTTATGGTCTAGTATATTTGTTTTATTTATACTTCTAAAGAGCTATTTTGAGAAAATATTGCTCCATTAATAATAATTTTTTTAAGGTTTACTTATTTTGAGAGAGAGAGAGAGAGAGAGAGAGAGAGAGAGACAGAGAGAATTCCCAAGCAGACTCTGTGCTGACACAACAGAGCCCCATGTGGAGTTCGAGCTCATGAACTGTGAGATCATGACCGGAGCCCAAATCAAGAGTTGGACACTTAACTGAATGAGCCACCCTGATGCTCCTCCATTAATACTAATTTTTAAAAAAAGCATCACAAGTCTCTCTCTCCCCCACCCCCGAAATATTTTGAATGTAACTAAAGCTCTATATAGTGGCAAATGTATAATCTTCAGTTCTGTAGTTATTAAAACAAAAAAAGAAATTAGGAAAAAGAACTAAAGAAAATATAAATTAGTAACATAAAATATTAATGAATTATTTAATATATGTAATTGACTACTTGTGAGAACTGCACCAAAATAAATAAAATATACTACTCTCTGACAAATTAACAAATGAGGTAAAATGTGTAAATAACTATTGAGATACATAACTACAAATATAGATGTTAAAATAATTTAATACAATACATAAAGTATTCTATGCAAATAATTTTGAAACTCATAAAGAGAAAGTTTCTGGCCAATATATATACAATCTATATCAGTTGTACCTTCCCCCCCTCAGAGATTTTGGTTGACTGTCGTTCAAATGCCACTTCTGTTTGCTTGTGACAATCCCATAACCTGCTCATGCTTTGAGATTTTGTGGCTGCTTCATAGTTTTCTAAGTATCCACACTCCTGCATCCACGGGGGCTGTCCTTATTTTCCCAGCAACATCTAACAGGGGGCAATATAACCCCCTTTCCCTGTGTGCTCACGGAAACCGCTGAGAGCACAGAAAGGATTGGTCAGTTTTTCTGTAATGGGTTAGATAGCAAATATTTTAGTCTTTGTGAACACATACACTACTCCTTCTCATCCTTCTTTTCCTGTCTTACAACCTTTTAAAACCCCCAAAACATTTAGCTCTCAAGATGTATGTGGGGGGGAGAGGGGGAGGCTGTGCGCAGGGCTGCCCTGGGGAACGAGATGCTGGATACAGGAGAAGCGCCCCCTCCTCATACTTGAGAGTTACCTGCCCTGCGCCCCGGCCGGATTACGGTGGGCGGGGCGGCTGGCGGCACAGGGCGGGGCCTACCTTCCCGCTGTTTCCTCCTGGTCCTTCTGGGCGGTGCAACCTCTGGCTTCCAGGGCCTACCGGCAGCTGACAGCCACCAAGATCTTCGAAGGCTACCAGCGGTCATACGGATGGTCTCCCTGTCGCAGGTGAGCCCCCGGCCAGGCGTGGAGGGCTCGGCGGGCACCTGCGGCTGCCACTCTGCACCCCTGCAGCCGGCCTGCGGGGGCCCTAAGCAGGGCGGCCCCCTGGGGGGAAAAAAGGTACAGAAACAGGCTACTGGTTGTGCTTGGCCTGTGGTCAGTTTTCTCAACTCTGCCCTGAAGAATAATGGCTAAAGAGTGCAGGCCCGGTAGCCATATTGCCTTTCGTTCTGGGTTTTAATCCTGACTCCAGTGTTTACTAGTTCTGTCAACGTGGGGAAAAGCTTGACCTTCTCTGGGCCTCAGTTTCCTCATTTTGAAAGCAGTGGTAATAACAATTCTTACTTCATCGAGTTGTAATGAAAATTGAATGCGCTAATATGTGTACCGTGCTTAGAAAAGTGGCACATTGTGAATGCTCACTGCGCGTTCGATGTTATTATCAAGACTATATTTGTGTTCATTGGATTTAATCACACCTTGCATAGCCGTCTGCTGCCTTTCTCCTTCCTATTCCTACTCTCTTTCTTCTCTCTCCCCTCATTTCTTTCAGATGTAACCAAGAAATTCCTCAACCTTTTTTTTTTTTTTAATCAGGCACGATTGTTCTTCCCATAGTCCGGTTTGCCTATAGTCTTACACTCTAAATAATGTATCTATTTATTTTATTCTCTAAGAAAAATGCTAATGAATAATTTTTTTGTTCACAGCATTACTTATAAACTACCAAAAGTTGACTCTAGAAGAAATGAAAATGCAAGTAATAGGAAAAGTTATCAAAGAATTACATCCGAAAATGTTAACTAAGATGATTTTGCATTTTAAGTAGACTTTTTATTATGGAAAATGTAAACATATGAAAAAGTAAAAAGAATTATATAATGAACCCCCATATACCTATGTCCCAGACCCTACAACTATAAAGTCCTAGACAATATTGGATTTTTTTTGGTTTTGTTTTTTTATTTTAGAGAGAGAGATAGCATGCAAGTGGGGGAGAGGGGCAGAGAGAGAGAGAGAGAGAGGGAGAGAGAATCTCAAGCAGGCTCCACGCTGAGTGTGGCGCCTGATGCAAGGCTGGATCCCATGACCCTGGGATCATTAGCTGAACCAAAATCAAGAGTCAGATGTTCAACCAACTGAGCAATCCAGGTACCCCTTGGACAATATTGTTTTTACTGTATCCTCACCCAATTCTTCCCCACACCTGATAATTTGGAAGCAAATACCTGACCTCATACAATTTCATTCTTGAATCATAAATTGTTTTAAAAATGTAACCACAATATTATTATATTAACATAGTAAACAGTAAAATAATCCCAAAATATATAATATGCCACTTGTATTCATATTTCCCCAATTGTCTTATAAAAACAATTTGTTTGTTTAAGTTTCACCTGCTATCTTTTCTGTTAATTTACACATTCTCTTTTCTTCTTGCAATTTATTTGTTGAAATAATTGTCCTGTGGTGTTCTACCACCTGGATTTTGTTAATTGCATCTCCACTGTGTCATTTAATATGTTCTTCTATCTCCTGCACATAGGTACATGTATATTGAAGCTTGATTACATTATGCTTGTGTGTTTTGCACAAGAATACTTCATAGATGATATTGTATACTTTTATTAGGAAGTACGTAACATCTGGTTGTCTCTCTTTTTTGTTTTTTATGATGTTAGTAGGCCTTGATGATCATTTCCTAGACTCATTAATCATTAGGGGTTGGAAATGAAGATGTTCTAATAGAATATCTTCAAGTTGGCTCCTGAGTCTTTTTGACATAACCTAGCTGTGTTTGATATCTTTCTTGCTTTCTGGTATAATAGGAGATTCCTCATTCACTTTGTATATTTTCTGTTTCAGATCTAGAACCTTGTACCTGTTACTGGAAAATGGTATTTAGAGACATAATCTGCACCCTATGGGTGCTTCTGGCTGTGGGGTTGGCATTGTAGAAACAATGCCTTTTCAGTGGATGGCGTTTTTGTTTGTTTATAAAATACATCATTAAAAAAATGTCAATTTTAGTTAAGAGTATGATTTATGATTATGCAAATTATTTTCTGTTTCAAAGTTGTAATATTGTGATTTGAGATGAGGAATATGCATTTCGTCCTTGTTCAGTTTTGGCACAGAGCAACTAAAACCCTTGGAATTTACTGTATGATAAGAGCAATAAAGGTGTCTTTTGTTACATTAATGAGGCAGCTTTTGGAAAGCATCTCAGGATGGGGGCTGGTTGCCAGAGGAGCCAACCATGTGATTAGGGTTGGAACTTTCAGGCCTGGGAAGGGAGGGACTGGAGGTTGAATCAGTTGTCACCAGTGATTTAATCAGCAGTGTCTATGTAATGTAGCCTCTGTAAAACTCCCACTCCAAAGGGCAGGGTTTGGCGAGCTTCAGACTCCGCGAACATGTAGAGATTTGAGGAGAGTGGTGCATCTGGAGAGAGCATGGAAGCTTTGCACCCTTTCCCCATACCTTGCCCTATGCTTTATTGCATCTGGCTCTTCTTGAGTTATATCCTTTTGTAATCAATTGGTGATCTAGAAAGTAAAATGTTTCTCTGAGTTCTGTGTGCTCTGGCAAATTAATTGAATCTAAGAAGGGGGTTGTTGGAACCTCCAGTACATATGACCAGTCAGTCAGCAGCACAGGTCACAACCTGGACTTGGACTGGCCTCTGAAATGGGGGCGGGGTGGGGGAAGTGTTGTAGGACTGAGCCCTTAACCTGTGAGATTTGATGCTATCTCCAGGTTGTTAGTGTCAGAATTGAGTTAAATTGTGGGACACCCAGGTACTGTCTGAGAATTGCTTAATGGTGTGGGAAACCCCTCCCCAACTACCACACACACACACACACACACACACACACACACACACGTTGGTATTGGTACCAGAACCTTTCAAAGTCAAATCTATAAAACAAGGTATATTTTGAGAAGTCTAGCTTCTATCTCAATCTTCTTCAACCTATTCTTTCCTACCATTGCAGGATTTTTTTTACCTTAATGCCTGGGATTCCTTGTCTTGCTACTTCGAAGAATGAAAGGGTGGACACAAAATAAGCAGCAGGCAAAAGTTTATTAGAATGTAAGATCAGAAAGTAAGAATAGTAGGAAA